AAACAAATAAGTAAAACAATGCACAAGTTACTTAATGGTAGAGAGAGAGAGAGAGAGAGAGAGAGAGAGAGAGACTTCTGATATTTCAGCCTAATGTCATTTGCAGCATGGAGAGGGAGTGGAATGCAAAGACTGGGAGGAGGATAAGTAGTCTGACACCCAAACATATGAATATTATGAGTCTGTTCTTTATAGTGAATTAAAAACTTACAGTGCAAAAATGTTGCTTGACTCCCAAATAAGTGATTCTAGTAAGTCAGTTCTTTTTAGTGAATCAGAAACCCCATTCAGTGTAGTCCAACATCCAAACAAATCTTATGCATTTGTTATTTTAGTGAATCATAAATCTACAGTGCAAGCTGTGTAATCTGATTCCCAAATGAATGCTTCTAATGAGTTGTTTCTTTTTCAGTGAATCAGTTCACTGGAATTATAAAGAAAAATTAGAACCAGTGCTGTTAAATTCTTTACGAATTTTCATTGCTTTGTATCACAGACTAAGGGGGATTTTGCTAAGAATGAATTACTCTTTATAGCATTGTTTATTTGCAGGCACTGTCTACTTGTTTGTACTTCTGATTGACTAGAGGAATTATGCAAATCATATAACCGCATAAAACACCCATAAAATATGCTGACCCTGTATTGCAGGCGCTTGGTGAATAAGATACAGGGTGAAATATGGTATGCAACTGTTTAGTGAATTCACCCCAGGTCTCTGAGCTCAAATTCACTAAGGCAGGGAAGCCAGCTTGTTCCTGAGATATTTTGTTTATTTGCGTCTTGGAATGATTTTGATTACAATCTAGGGAATGGGGATCAAAACAGACTGAGAGGGAAATGCTGTCCCACTCTAGTTCTCATCTGTGCTTCAGTTCTTTCCCAGGGCATGTTTAAAAACAGCCCATAATTTTTCTGTTTATTCCAGTTCATCCAGAGATTTTTGCTTACCTTGTGGCTAAACATCCTCACCTAAACATGTACAATAATTAAAACAGGTGTATACAACACCAGTATAAATAAAAAATGCATTCCAATACCCTAAAGTATTTCATGACAGGCTCTATGAGCAGTATGCAGCCATTGGTTACTTAATGGTGATCTATGTCACGTCAATGTGAGTGTTACACCAGGAATTCAGAGGTGTCTGTGCCATTCTGAGGAAAAGCTCCCACCCATTTCCTGTCATTCTGTCTTGTATTAGCATCAAGACGTATAACAGTGCTGGCAACTGCTCCTTAATGCCCTGTAATGCTGTGTGCTGGGTGGAATTGCAGTATGACTTGAATGCACAATAATCTACCATTCCATAAATCAGATGTGCAATTGCCTTAATGCAAGGCTGTATTATTGTAATAGTTTTGATCATCATGTCCCACCTAAATATTTTCTTGGCTTTTTAAGGAAAATATGCTGGTTTGAAATCTGGCTGACCAGTCGTCAGGAGTGCACACTGTCTTGACCAGCCAGAGACCAGCAGTTAGCAACAGCCAATGAAATAGCGAAAGAGCACAGGATGGGTTGAAACTTTTCCCCAACCACCCTCTTATTCATATTTTAAGTCTCTTTTAGGTTGTTTTTCTCATTCTGTGCAAAATTCAGTGTAAAAACAAGTCTGTCCTCCTTGTTTTTTGTTATCACATTTTCAGGAATCTACTTTCTTGTTAATCTGTGAATGTGTGTTTTCTAGAGAATTAATTAATTAATGCTTGCTAAAAATGTCATCTAAAGCAATCGTGAACTGAAGTCTTATGGATTTGTAATGACAGAATTTTCATTTTTGGGTAAACTATCCCTTTATAAGTGAAATTGTAAAGGAAGTGTGCACATTTTTTTTTGCACAAAAAATATATTTGCCAAAATGATTATTTTCAGCCATCATTCTGACTCATACATTCTGACTTGGCAAACGTCATTGCAGGGTAAAAAGTATCAGCACCCCCCTATTCCATGTGAGTAAAAATTATGAAAACATTATCCGTATAAAACCTTTAAATTTACAGACAAACATGATGAAAATGTTTACTCACGCTTTGCGACGTACCTGCTGTCAGATCCAATACAGTTCAGCTTCATCCTTCAGCAGATGTTCCTTTGCAAATTCTCCATTATACTGCGCCTTGCTTACAAAACAGTCTGCAGTCAAATGCTCTTAACATGCCGGGATGCCATTAAAAATACACTATTCACTTGCAGTCTGTACAACAAGCTGTTTAAACGGACATTGAACATGCATCTGTATGCTGTATACAGTAGACAGCATCAGTGATTATGATGGGCTACATTTGCTTATGATGCAACACAGATGTTGCTCTTTTGCTTTTGCTTTTTTGTACTGAGGAGGATGATTTAAGATATAAAATTTCCATGATGTTTTAATGGTACAAATACCTCTAATATCAGGGGAGTCCAAGCTCGGTCCTGGAGGACCACTGTCCTGCAGAGTTTAGCTCCAACCTCAATTAAACATACATGGGCCAGCTAATCAAGGTCTTACTTGGCATACTAGAAACTCCCAGGCAGGTGTGTTGAGGCAAGTTGGAGCTAAACTCTGCAGGACAACGGCCCTCCAGGACCAAGTTTGGACACCCCTGTCATGACCCCTCTAAATGTGCACTTGGCCTTAGTTAGGAGAATAAGAATCCATTCTGAATTTTGAATTTGAAAGCTGTGCATGGACAAGGAATCTGTCAGTGGTTGGGAGTGCAACTGAAGTTTAAAAGCCTGGAGTGACTTCAAAGATAGATCTTTGTGTCATGGAGATTTATCGATTGGTGGGAGGAAGTGTTCGATATGAGATGTATCAGAGTTTCCAGGTACTGACTCTATAGTGTGGTGGAAAAATCTCTCTAGAGCATTAACACCATCTTTTTTTCAGGTGCATTCGCCTGGAGACTGGCAAACACACCTGAGATTGGCGAGATGTCTGGAATAACATTGCTGCACCCATAGAAGGCCCGACTCTCAGTCTCTGTTTATTGCACAGATGATTTCATTGCCATATCTGCTATTTGTTTGCGTTGGCCTGTGTAAAATCATATCTTGTGTGTTGATGGATTACACAACGGAGCCAGTATGTGTCATATTAAGCAAGCTATCAAAACAGCACTAGGTAAGAAACCATAACAGTGATTGTTTCCAAGTGTGTCTTCGGATTAATCCAGACTTGTAATGCTGATTCATATCTTTTAGGAGTTTCTCTCACTTTGCTGGCAGATCCATCGCCAACCGCTCTCACCTCTGGGTTTGTTTGCGGTCTGGATGGATACTCATCAATGCAGGAGCCTTGTAGACTAAAGAGGGATTGGGCTTGATTTGTACATCCCTCTTGACAAATGACATAAATACACATTAAGCAGTGAAAGCGTTTGTTTTAGGAACTCTTTAAAACCCCTCCAGAGGCCAAGAAATGCTCCATACAACAAAAACCTTGCAGTGCTTTTTAAGCTGGGATGGGGAGTGGGGTGCAGAGGCATGGAGTCTGGTTGAGGTTTTGGATGGGAGTAGAGGAACTCTGGCCACATGAAGACGCCCAGTCGCTTGATCTCAAAGATTTTGACTTTGTGATGTCTCACGTCATTGCTCAATCGCACACCCACACCCTTCACTGTGTTCAGGCACGCTGTATGGTACGCGCTTTGCTCTATAGACCGCAGCTCAGCGGGCCCTGCAGGGTCTGCGGCGCTGGTCGCTCTCTGGCATAAATCAACATTCATTCAGTCATTCTGATGAAGTATAATTCGTTTGTTTTAGGAACTCTTTAAAACCCCTCCAGAGGCCAAGAAATGCTCCATACAACAAAAACCTTGCAGTGCTTTTTAAGCTGGGATGGGGAGTGGGGTGCAGAGGCATGGAGTCTGGTTGAGGTTTTGGATGGGAGTAGAGGAACTCTGGCCACATGAAGACGCCCAGTCGCTTGATCTCAAAGATTTTGACTTTGTGATGTCTCACGTCATTGCTCAATCGCACACCCACACCCTTCACTGTGTTCAGGCACGCTGTATGGTACGCGCTTTGCTCTATAGACCGCAGCTCAGCGGGCCCTGCAGGGTCTGCGGCGCTGGTCGCTCTCTGGCATAAATCAACATTCATTCAGTCATTCTGATGAAGTATAATTGTGAAAGAAGACGGGCTGTAAAAGGCCCTGGTTTCTGGAATTTATCTCCAATTAAAACAGCTTTTCATTTGACATTTCTGGACACAAAAACTGCTTTCATTCTAACAAATTCAAATGAGAGGAAAGAAGTGCATATGATTTTAAAAAATATTTTAATACTAAAGTCCAAGTCCATTCTCTTGGCTGGATAGATACTGATTTTTTAAATTTTAATTTAATTTAATTTCAGGGTCTGATGGTCTCAACTTCAGATACCCTTGGACTGGCAAGAGTTTGTTTGATGATCGTCTGATTATTACTTATTACGGCACACTGGAAAGCATTTCTTGATCAGGTAACCTGTAATTAAAATTTTTGCAATGTGTGTTTTTGTTTTGGTTTTTTTTGGCTTTGAGGATGAGAAATCACCATCTTTCTCAATGTTTGCCAAGTTAGTATAATCAAATCTTTGAAATACACAGTGTATGGAATATTTATTTAGAATTTTGTTCAGGCACTTGAGTTGACTAGATATCTACAAACAAAAAGGTATATTTCACTTTGACTGTGAAACCATCTCCGTTTTTTTGTGTGTGTGGCGTAATCTGTATCAGAATCCTAAATGCCAAAAAAAAAAAAAAAACAGAAATATGAAGGTTGTCACTTTAAATGTCGGTTAAATGGTTTCTTCCTGTTTAAATTGGCCGTTTTTGGCCATAACTTGGGATGTAGACTAGAACTTTTGCTGTTATGTCATGTAGTCTGGCTACATGAGTCTAGGATATCTGGATAACATTGGGTCGCCGTGATTTTGCCAAGTAAGACATGTTCCTGGATCAACATCTTTTGTTGATCCTGGATCAACATTACTGTCCAAAAATATAAACTAAACCCAATCCCTACCCCTAAACCTAACCCTACCCATAATTTATTCCTAAAATCAGTGGGAAATGATAGCTGATTAGCAAGGGTGTAGAAGCACCTAACCCTGATCGTAAGCCTAAAACAGATATTTCCTGAAAAGTTATCCCTTAATTCTGATTGGTTAATTGGAATGTTGTTCCAGGATCAACAAGAATGTTGATCCAGGAACATGTTGTACTTGATGAAATCACGGTCACCATAACATTGTTGTCATTGACCTCCTTGAAGTCCTGGACACCCGTGGCGCTTTTGCAGTTGCCAGTGGAGCGCATAATCAAACATTTTTTAACTCCGTTGGATTCAGTTTCATCTCTCAACAGGGTTTTGGTGGTCTCCAGGAAGAGGGGGACAGAAAGGTTCACTTCCAGGCTATGTATGACTCCAATCAAATGACTACTCTGCTATGGCCTTCTCTCAGTAACAGGCAACAGACTCAAAAGAGGAGAATGTAAACCAGAACACTTAGGAAATTCTACACCTTCAGAAGAAAAGCCCAGATATGGTGAAATGTGTTCTAACATTTCCTCCACTAGTCCGTTCAGCCACACAAGGATACAGATGCTACAGTGAGACATGCACACACACTTCTAGACGTACACAGACACAGCTGCCCTTTGAGAAAGTCACGCTAGACTGCTGAAAGAACAACTGTAATGACAGGCTGACCAGCTGTAAAGAGGGCATTGGGAAAAAACAAATATGTTTGCAGTGGTGGGAGGGATAGAAGGAAAGAGTCAAAGAAAGAGAAAAGAAGAGAAATGGCCTGTTTTACACTGGGGAGTTGGTATTCATGCTGGTGTGCACCTCTGTCTTTGCATAATTTGAAAATCACTGGCAAACTATTTTAATGTACTATGATGTTAGAAATATTGCATAGTTTGCAAACAATTATCCTGCCTTGGATTTGCAGGAAGTTAAACTCAGAAAAATTTAAATGATTAAATTAGCATTAGCATTCCACTAATTAAATAAGGCAGCACACTGACTAAATTATTAGTTTTCCCCCTATAAACAGCACAGCGGTTCACTTCAAAGGTCATCTAGTTATATTAAAGATTTGTTAATTGCACATGTTAGCCTTAGAGCTAAATGTATAACAAATTAATTACAGTCATTCATATTTTTTTAAATTTAATTTTACATTATTTATTTTGCATTTTATGTATATATCTATGTCTGTTTTTAATTTTTGGTTTGTGTCATTTTAATATTGCTGAGAAAAGCAATGCTATTTATTTATTTATTTATTTGTTTGATTGTTTATTTAATTATTTATTTATTTATTGTTTTTAATCATCCATGTCTGTTTGCTTTATATTTGAAACTTTGAAAGACATGCCTTGAGATTCCTAAACTTTTTTTCTCTAGGAATTTGCATATGGGTCAGGCTGCATGATTAATTGCACTGATTTTAATCATTTTAATAGTTTAAATAATTTTTATTAATATTATTCATTTATTAATTATTATTATTTAATTGCATTGTTTTTTGATACTTCTCATCGTAGGTATGACCCAGTTTTTGCTGACAAAGCCTTTATTCTGGGTACGATCGACACGGTGGTCTGAATATGGTTGACGGCCTCAAATATCACCCAGGTATGACATTTCAAAACAGAAGCAAATATCTGATGGGTTTACAAAGGAGCTCAAAGTTTCAGACAAGAACGATTTGCTGCGAGTGTTATTTCAACTGTGAGAAAGCACTTAGAGATGAAACAGATCAGAGCTTATTTTACACAGTTGCATACAACATTGAGCTATCATAAAGATCATTTTCCCTAAAATTACCTTTAAAGATGCTCTGAAGTCCGTAATCTAACCATAGTATTTGTCCTGCCACAGATACCTTGTTTTCCATCTCGCATGTCTGTTCTCAGACAGACATCTCTGTCGGGAGATCAGTGGACTTCAGATCCCATCCCATTGAGACTTTAAGTGTCTTACTTTGCTTCAACACGCAGCTCAAGAATCATTGCGGGGGCTCTCCATGTCTGTGAAACCAATCTGAGAGGCCCTTTTGTGTTACACTTTATTCATCTCAAGAGAAAACACTCGACACTGGTTACTTTTTATAACTCATAGCAATCAGAAACAAGCACATATTGGCAGTTTTATAGCATGCATAGGCTGTGTATGTTTTATTCCCCTGTCCGGTGTAAAAATTTGAGCGGGACAAAGAGCAAAGTGCACACCGATCCCCAAACACCCCTACTTTAAATATGAAAATATATAATGGTATAATGTGTTCAGTATGCATGCTTGAAGGAAACCATATGAAGAAGGCAGACAAAGAACTCTCTGTGTTCCAACTCCTGTTCGTCCACACCCCCTTTTCCCTTCTTTCAGTCTGCTAGAGAGAAAGAGAGAGCGAGAAAGAGAGAGCGAGAAAGAGAGAGCGAGAACGAGAGCGTAACTCCATGTGAGACAGAGGGGGAGGTGAACGCAAGGAGGACCTGTAAAGGGGCTGTACAAACTAGCCATAACATACACACCGAAGCACTTGGGAGTACAGGTGAGTCTACCATCAGCTCCAGACTTTCATTGAGTTTCACTTGGTGTTGTGTTATCAATGAACAGCTTTATCACCTGTTGAATCGCAAACTGCATCCTTGAAGAACCTACTACGTGAGGTAGCCAGCTGCAACCTGGGGGAATGTTTTTGAAGTCGATCATTCTAAATATTTGGGTTGAATAACTGAGGATGTTAACTTCGTTCTCCTCCCGGTGGAGGGATAATCTAACTGGCGATGGGCTTCATGTGTTCCCTGTTTGGCTCTCCTTTGTCCTGCCTGTGTGTGGTTCTTATGATGATAAATTTGAGCAGCATGCAGTAACAGTAGAATGAATATCCGGTGCTGGAGTTTCTTAGCGACAGTCATGACTTATACATTAGGCAGGGGTTCTGTTTAGCAGAGATGTCATGCTGAGCATCTGTCACTGACCTTTGGTGGCATAATTTGCAGGACTCTTTAAGTCGCAGCTTTTTAATGGTACTGAAGTTTTATCTGCTATTTGGATCCGCTAGATAAGTTTAGTGTTGGAGTAATTGCTCTGTCAGAGTCCAAAAAGGCTAGTTTTCTTTTTTATATGTGTTTATGGCTCTTTAATGAGCCGTTTAAAATGAAATTAAAACAGTTACAGTATTTTCACTTTATCCCAAAGCACCTGGTTTTGCTCTTTTTGTCTTCTCATTGATTCTCTGCAGACTTTGTCAAGTCACCTTTATATAGCATTTTATACAATACAGATATCCGAAAAGATTAGAACAAATTCTGCTGTAAAGCAGGCATAAAAAAAGACAGTAGTATCATTATTCAGCTAGCTATTGAATGCACAACCCAGTGAGACCTTGCACATCTATGATTTCAATGACAAGTCATTTTTCTCTAAAATTTATATATGTGCCCGCTATATACTTAGTACACTTATGAAGCAAACACCATGTCTCTGAGCCTCACTGAAGTTTATAACTAATGGTGTTTTTGCTGTTTGTCATCAACCTGTGAAAGCCAAGGCATGCTAGCTATCTGCTGAGAATTACTCTCAAAGAATGCCAAATGTAGAGTGCAACCCCCAAATTATTTTTCAGGCTACTTACAGGTGCTTCAATAGGCCTTTGTGTGAAAGAAGCCGAGTTGAAGAGCAGGTCTCTGCATTGTGCCGTGGCGTATGGTTGAAGGATCTGGCCCTGGAGGGCTGTAATGGATCTGGAAGATTAGAGAGACCTGTTGGGCCCCGGAGGTCTATCAAAACGCTGTGTCAGACACTGTTACGTACACTATTACTGCTCATATTATGCACTGTAACGGATACAGCCCAAAACACACACAAATACTATCTCCCAGTACCTGCATCCGGTGCCTCGGGACTGATAACGTATGGAATGTGATGGGTAGAGTTCGATACAGCTCATTAGATTGGTGTATGAGCACAAGAATGCCCTCACTGGATTGGAATGACTCATAAATCAAATGATGGCAAATCGTTAGAGTTATGTGAGAGAGCCATGCAGGTAGGCTGGTAAGTTAATGTTGTAATATACATACCAGGAAAGTGAAATCAGATAAGATAAGCATACTTTGATACTTTAAGACACAAAGATTTATCATTATACTGTTTTCTTCCCCCTTAGCAAATCCAAAAGATATGCCCTGTAGTTCAAAATGCTCTGTGATGCATCAGCTTTCAACCTTCTTTCAACCAGCTTTCAGCCTTCAAGATGTTTTGGCGTTTCAAAGAATGTTGATTGCTAATCAGCTAGTAATTTGATAAGGAACCACAACATTCTAGAATGCATGTTAAAAAAACTGAATTGATGGAGATGAAGAATGATAGTCTGAGTTTCCCTGATGTACAGTTAAGTGAGATGTGACATGCTTAATGTAAGAAATTAAATGGAAAATTCTTTACATTAAGCAACTTACAAAAGTCTGAGGAACAAAATCTAAATATATCTGGAACAATTTATCTTGAGTTAAAAAAAATATCTTTATTGCCTTTTATGAAATATTGAAATATTTAATATTGAAATATTTAATATTTATCTGCCAGTGTGGCAAAAACGAAAATGTATTTGTCAGAGCGTTGTCAGAGGTCACATTACTCAAAAGCATTACAAAACAAAGCAACTGCTCTTTATGTTTCGTCCAAAGCAGAGAAAGGCAGAGAGCTTGTGAGAGGCTTTTGTGGGCAAGAATGTTTGTTTTGTTGAGTTGATTGTCTTTATTTGTGGAGGATGGCATGGAGGGCATGAACAGTGGGTGTCATTTTTGTGGCCACTTTGAGTCAACTGTTGGAGTGGGCGGGACGTTAACTCCCAAACATAAATGCACAGGGGTCGAACGAATCACTGGAAGAGTGAAACAGACCGCTCATTTGTCATAGGTGTTATTAGTTAAAACAGTGTTTGAAAGGGGGTGATGAAGACTAATGGGGTCTTATTACCTCATGTGACCCGTGGCCTTGTTGTAGCCTACAGGATGTGAGAGAGACGACACTCAGCTGACAGGGTGATTCAGTGCTATTGAGACTGCCAATTAACACACTGTCCTGTTTCAGCATGCAACTTCTTTACAAGTCATCCGAGAGCATGCATAGACTCACATTTGAGTCAAAGCCTTTCCTATTACAGAAAATTCCTTAACTGACGAAACTGACAGATATTTAGCTGTGATGCTGCAAAAGCCTTCATGAAACCAAATGATTTATATAGTGACTCCACCCTTAAATCTTTAAAAATCATGACTTTTTAAAGGGATAGCTCACCAAAAAAAAAAGTACTTTAAGCTTTTAGAGGTAATTCTTATACCAAGCACAGTTTAGTCAGTAATTTATAGGGTTTCATGGGGTTTTACGTGGTAATGGTGTTAAAGGGGTCATATGATGCGATTTCAATTTTTCCTTTCTCTTTGGAGTGTTACAAGCTCTTGGTGCATAAAGAAGATCTGTAAAGTTGCAAAGACTAAAGTCTCAAATCCAAAGAGATATTCTTTATAAAAGTTAAGAGTCAGCCACGCCTACCTAAAATGGCTTGTTCTAACACGCCCCCACATGTCTACATCATTTTCACATGTGGAAATATTAGCATAATGCCGCCCAAATGTGCACACAAAGAAAGAAGGCGTGGTTTCAGGAACAGCAGTCGTGTTGATGCAAAAAAAAGGGTAAATTCCGACTTTGCTATGACAATCTGGTGCTTCTGAATCAGCGACTGTAAGTATGTTTTGTTGTTAGTTTAAGTATTTGCTATTGACTGTTCAAATGCGGAGTTTTGCGCAGCGCAGAGTAACGCGTTGTGTGTGTGTGTGAGGGGAACAGGGTCACATCACAGGAGAGTGAACAGCCTGTCAGAAATCATAGCACGTCAGCTATCTTAACCGTGGCTTGTGTACTGCATCAGCACTGTCTGTCACGCGACTCTGTTGCCCTTTCGGGCTTGAACTGATGGTAAAACTAACTACATTATTAACTGTCTTGATATTTACTTTGAAAGCTGAAGCTCGCGATTATGGTAAGGGGTGTTA